TAGTTGATGTACTTCAGTTTTCCTACGACGGACATACAAATAAAATAAGAAAACAAGGTTTTTTTCCTAAAAATGAGTTCATGGGACATTTAATTCTTTTTACGTACATCATCTCTTGTCCAATTAAAATAATGTTGTTTTACGAGTGTTTTGTTTAATGCGACTGGTAAATATCCTACTTTCTATTTTAATTACCTACTTCTAAACGAATTATTGCGTTAGCAGAAGCACGCAATAAAGAAATATTGGATACAATATTCGTTCTGTGTGAGGGATATATGGGGAAAAAGGGTGTCGTTTTGCGTGTGTTATAGCGTAAGTGCGGCACAGCTGATCTCCGATGCCGAAAACCAGATCTAAAACAGAACATTATGTGTTGGGTCCCAGGTCGGGAGAGGGACCCTGAGACTGACAGAGGCCCTCAAGTCGATAGAGGACCTCCCCAGGTGGGGAAACGCCCCCCTCCCGATTGATGCAGGGCCCTTTGGACGAACAAAGAGCCCCTCAGGCTGACGGAATGCCCTCTCGGTCCAAAAAGGGCCCCTCGCGCAAAAAACGGTTCCTTTACACTAACAGAGGACCCTTCAGATGTTAGTCAGAGAGCCCCATCATGATCTCACCTCAGAGGGCAGCTTTGAGCGCCCGACAGCAAGCCTCGCTTCGTTGGGTGCTCCGGAAGCCCGGGCTACCTTGCTGCTGATATACGCTGAATTTGACCTGAGTTTGATGATGACTTGGCTATGACTGTGAATTCCCCTCTAACTAACCTGCCCCAGTGGACTTGGACACTTTCCCCAAGCGTGTATGAATGTTATGAACGTAATGGATGTGTGAGTGTGCTGATAAATTGGGTGGGCTTTCAGTAGTGGGCCGTCACCACTGATTGCAGTGTTGACTACTTTGCTTCTTTTTCGTTCCCCTAGTTCGTACCTATGGCTTTCTCCCTTCTGCTTTTGTGTGTGTTACATTTCATTTCCTAGCAGGGAGTGCCGCGACTTGCAGTTTTGAGTTATTCTGGTGTTAACGTAAGTTTCTGTGTGTCGCTGGGAAAGAGGGAGGGGGCACTCCTGGTCACCTGATAACGGGTGGCGGCATAGAAAAAAAAAACTCGACGCGTTCAGAGGGCCCCTCAGTAGCTAAGAGGGCCCCCGTCAAGCGATCAGGGGCCCTTTCATGCACTCAGAGGGTTTTACTGTAGCTCAGAAGGCCCACGTCAAGCAATCAGGATTCAGGGGTCCCTTCATGCGTTCAGAGGGCCCTATCGTCTAATCAGAGGGCCTTTCTGCAGTTTAGAGGACCCCTGGCAATAAGTCAGGGCCCCTTTATTCGCTCAGAGGGCTTTTCTGCAGTTCAAGGGGCTCCTGGCAAGCAATCAGGGTTTATGCGCTCAGGAGCTCTTCTGTTGTTCAGAGAGCCCCCGTCAAGTGATCAGCGGTCCCTTCGTGCGTTCAGAGGGCCTTTCTGTGGTGCAGAGGGCCCCTGCCAAGCGATCAGGGGGCCCTTAATGCAATCAGAGGGTTTTTCTGTAGCTCAGAGGGCACCCGTCAAGCGATTAGGCGGCCCCTTCATACTTTCAGAGGACCCTTCCGTGTACTCAGAGGGCCTTTCTTTAGTTTAGAGGGCACCCGTCAAGCTATCAGGGGCCTCTTCACTAGCTCTGAAGAGGGTCCCTCCGACTTCAACCAAACTATAAGAAATAAATATTAAATAAAAATTTAAAAAGAGGCCGATCAAAAAGTCATCACTACACGCTGCAGCGCCAAGGCCTACCGTATCCCACCATCCAACTGTGCTATTGTCAAACTGCATTATATTGCGCAAATTTGCATTTGATTTATCTGTTAAATAACCCGCTAAGCTGACTGTGCAACGTGCGTATTTGACAAACTTTCGTAGTGCCCATTCCACCACACGCGTCTTACACTGTTACATCGCTTCTAGCAACAAACAAATCAGCATCCTGTCAGAATCGTTCGTGTGCCACTGCATTGCCTAATGCCTGGTCGACTATGGCGCCACCTATGTAACTAAAGCTTTCAGAACGGCCGCTACTGTATAAGCTGGGGGCGCTAGTATCGCCAGAAAGGGACCAAGTCGGCGAACAATTTTGCCTCGCGGGACTCAGTTTTTCATTGTTGACTGGTAATTTTCGAAGCAATCGTCTTGCCATGCTATTGGGCCATAAAATATAACTGTCTCCACTTGATTCTTTGTGGTCGACACACCCTAACGTGCAGGGGTCGATTCCAGATCTCGAGAACGGCTGGACCGATTGCGCTCAGATTTGGTTAGCGGTTAGGGATCCGTTAGTAGGGTGCCGTGCAAAAGTCAGTTGGGACCCATTTTGCACGTGCGCACCTGCAGGGTGCCGCTTCTAGATCTCGAGAACGGCTGGGTCGATTGCGCTCAAATATGGCACATTGCTAGAGAGCGGATAGTAGGGTACCGTGCACAAGTCAGTTGGAGGTACCCCCTCACAATTTCCCACGTGCAAGGCCCACCCTCTCGCTCGCTCCGTTTGTCGTCCTATAAGGCGTTTTACTGGTAGTATGTGTAGCATTGTGAATCTAGCACTGCATTTCACTAAAACAATGCCGTCAGGTCAATCATGTGAGGATATCAGACGCATTCTTGTAACTAGAGCTGCGGCAGACTCAATATTCGATAACATGTATCCATATCAAATAATCAGTTTTGTTCTAACTGGGTAGGGCGTACCTACACCAGGCTAAGGACGGCGCCGGGAAGGCCTGTCGAGAGACGTGTTCCGTCCGCGCGGTGTTTACACACCATGATCTCCCTCAGTCGGCGCCGCCCGCCGCGCCGGCGCAGTAACCAAACGTCGTTATCGTAAGGGCCGTGAAATGAGGAGGGGGAGAAGGTCATTAACGTGGGAAAAAACGCTCTACCCTGGTGACATCTACTGGCTGAGAATCGGAGTAGTAGTGCTCGGACACCAACGCTGAGCGGAGCCACCTCCGAAGTTAGCGCACCCTTAAAGCAAGCTCATGAGCCCTGCGACACTTGTACGGTACTTGAGCTTGTCGCAGACATTTGACGAGAGTTGAGAAATGCCCCTAAGATTTCGTTTCACGCTTTGAACGAAAATTGTGTCAGCACTCCAAAACTTATGAAAATCAGCTGTAAAATGTAATAAAGAACGAACTAGGAACATGGAATGGATCGCAGCATTGACATTTCCGAGTCTGGACTCGGAGTCTTGAAGATTTTGGCGACTGCGAGTCAGACTCTGGTTTGAACTGCACGCTCCAACCGAGTCTGACCTCACAGGCATTCTCAGAAAGGTACCCCCATTTTTTCCCGACTCCAAAATCTCATCGGATCTGTATCGATCTCAGGGGGTGCCCGGTCCGAGGTTGGGGGGGCAAGCTGCCCCGCTTGCCCCCCCGTGGCGACGCTAATGTGATCGATTCGTGTCAAATTTTGTGTGAAGGCTTAAAAATGTACAGGCAAACTAATGGTCAAATAAATACGAAAACCAACTGGTAAAAATTGAATTATTAGGGTGCAAACACAATCTGTGACTGAAACGTTTCCCGCGTCGGCCGATCCCCGCGCCTTTGCCGGCGACTTCTTACTCTTAGCAGGCCACTAACTGCCAAATTTATGGTTAGATTATCTAAAGATTCTCATAACACTACAAATGTCGTAAAAAGGAAGAAATAAAAAATCGGCCAGTAACTCTTAGAGCTATGGGCGTATAAACGCAAAATAGTCACCATAGCAAATTTCATCACGATTAACCTCATTTGATCTTGAAGATATTGATCTAGGGCCATGAAATTGGCACACGATAAAGTTCCCCACCTACAATTCAAATTCCGTTTTTTATACCTTTTTTGGCTAAACCGGGCCTTTCTCCCCTAGCGCTGGGATAGTCAGGCGTATTTCCTTTTTGCAACCAAAGGGAGGCGCTGCCCGGAGAATGCCCAATTGCATCATTAAAAAACTGGCTTACATCTCCGCGATGACCAGCTATCTCCGTGGCTTAGTAGTTAGTGTGCCGAGTGTACCCACCTCGTAATCTAAAGGTGGCTGGCTCGTGGCCGGTTAGCCTCAAGTGTTTAAACACGCATTCGTTTTTTAAGTAGCATCTGGCCAGCCGGCAAATGTCGTGAGGGCTAATGTTCGTATCTAAGTAGCATTTGGCTAGTCGGCAACTGCCGTGAGGGCTGTACATATTTACGCATGTTAGATTAGGTCAGGTCACGTCAGGTCAGGCTAGGTTTGCTTTGGTTTGGGGCAGAAAGAAGCATCTCCGGGTAGCGCCTCTCCTTGGTTGCTAAAACGAAACTCGCGAGTGCCAGACATTCCGAAGTCCAAAAGGCAGTTACGTAGACGTCGGCCCATTCTGGATTTTTTATATGATGTAGCTAATGTATGGGAGGATGAAATATGTAAAAATCAGCAAAATCGAAGGGTACCCATTTTTCAGAAAATCAAAATTTATTTTTTGAATTTTAATTTAGTTCATTAATTAGCTAATTATGTCAATATTGTTATCCTCAAATTAAAGCCTGATCTATTCCCTCCATTTCACACTTTGTCTCATGGTGATATGTCTAAAACTTCAATGGTTATGACGCTTTAAAGATGATAATGTGCCTTGCCTAAGTCAATGTTTGATGACGTGTATCTCGGAAACGTGACGTCATATCTTGACAAAAACATGTCTCCTTTCTTTTCACATATAGATGAGTAGTTTCACAAAGTTTCGCAAAAATCGGAGGAGGTGAGGTTCAAAATGGTCATTTTTTGTCTCACTTGACGTGGAATGCCCCGAAGGTGAAGCAAACAGCGAACGGCCAACGCGCATTCATTCATTCATTCATTCATTCATTCATTCATTCATTCATTCATCCACAGCTTGGCCGCACCACCAGTGTTACCATGAAGGTGAAGGAAGCAGAGCGGACGGCCAACGCGCATTCATTCATTCATTCATTCATTCATTCATTCATTCATTCATTCATCCACAGCTCGGCCGCACCACCAGTGTTACCATGAAGGTGAAGGAAGCAGAGCGGACGGCCAACGCGGCCTGGTCACCCGCCCCTCTGCCGGACTTAATGCTGGCTGCGGGCACGGCGGCACAACAGCTGGATGCTACGTTTTCGTCTTCTGCCCGGCTGGAGATTTTTGGACTCGGACTGGGTGATAGTACCCTGGAGATGCCCGTTTTGGCAAGTGTGGAAACGCCGTCTAGGTGAGAAGGGAAGAGGGAGGGAGTTTGGGAGAGGGAAGGGAGGGGTAGAGAGAGTTGGGAAGGTTTTGTAAGGACTTCGTGCAATCAGTGTTTACACACACTGTGGGTTTGATACCAATCTTTTGTGGACTTGTGAGAGAAAATGGGCACTGCAATGTGCACAAAACTTGAATTTGTGAACAAGTAAATATACCTGGATACTTGATAAGGGAATAAAAATGAAGAAGCTAGTGAAAGTTAGCTTATGCCAACATAAATTGAACCTTTTTACCGCCTCCATACTTCTAAAACTTAGGAGACATAGATGCGACTTGTGATCAAAGTAAATGATCTTGACCAGCTAGTGAGTGCATATAGTGTACAATGTATTCTCAATAGGTACCTACTCCCTCCCTCTCCCCCTTTCTCCCCCTACTCCCTCCACAGGTTCCACTGCGTGTCGTGGGGCGCCCACGGCCTCTCCACCGGTTCCCGTCCGGCCGGTATGATAGTGGGCGGCTCGGATGGCGGGAAAATCGCCCTGTATGACGCCCGTAAACTACTGGATGGACAGCCGGCTCTACTGGAGACTACGAGCAGACATACGGGGGCTGTACGATCGCTGGATTTTAACCCGTTCCAGGTGAGGTTGGAGAGGGGGATGGAGAGTTTGCGGGAGGGAGTAAAGGAGCGGAGTTTGTGTGATTTTTATGGGATAGTTGAGCGTGAGGTAAGGCTTACCAGCCGATGACCTTTGTTTCCAATAAATGGATGGAGCTGTGATTGGGAGATTTAGTATCACGTGGTTAGTTGGGTAGGAAGGGAGACTTGTATCATTTGAAAAGGAACCAGGAATTTATAAGGAATATATTGGATGTCTTTGACTACCTACCTCAAGGTGTAATGTTTTGCGGCGTTTCAATGGTTGACTGATTGGTGATTGGCAGTATGCACTGCATTTTACAAATTAACAATTGCATTTGATATTACAAATTCAGTTTGCATTTCAAATGAACCTTGTATTTAAGATCTGCCGAAATCCGCTCGCAATACACATTTACTTTATTCATTTATCTGTTTGTAATGGAATATTGTTTTCAATTTTGTAGCCCTGACTGAGTAACTGAATGAACGATTTATTGACTGACTGATTCCCAGCTCACTGACTGATGAACCCTGCCCCCCCCCCCCCCTGTTCTCCACAGGCCAATCTGCTGGCATCGGGCGCCTCAGACTCCGAGCTATACATCTGGGATCTGAACAGTCCCAGTACGCCTATGACACCAGGAGCCAAGGCACAACCCGCTGAAGACGTATCAGCGGTCACTTGGAATAGACAGGTACGGTGTGACTGCTGTTTGTTGACAGGCATGGCTATCCACTTCTCTGTGATTTCAACAAGAGAGTGGTTTTTGTTTACTTTGGTTCCTGTATGGTTTGGATTTGGACAGAAAGTTGTTTATATGCACATGGTAAACCGGGTGAAAAG